CTTCTTCTTCTTCTTCTTCTTCTTCTTCTTCTTCTTCTTCTTCTTCTTCTTCTTCTTCTTCTTCTTCTTCTTCTTCTTCTTCTTCTTCGTGTAGCGATTACAGTTGCTTATATTTATGTTAGTACCTTGATACTAGTTTTACGAAGACAATACTCATTAAGAAGAGGAGTTAGCTAAACGTTTTTTTAAAAATAAAGTAAAACAAAGGACAAAAAGGTTAATACACCAAAATAGACGAAGAGTCAGAGAAGAAGGAATATAAAGTGTAGTTTTAGAAATGAAGAAAGAAGACAGGTTAAGGCGGTTGGGGGGAGGGGGCTGCACATGAAGGCTGTCTCGCTTATTAGCGGATCGAATTTTACCAAATTTCACACATAATATTACAAACATAGTAGGGAGTTTTAAAATAGGCAAACAAATTTGAGAAAAATGTTTCGTTCCCGTGGATACGGCGGCCATATTGGATTTTTGTTGACCTATCTTACGTAATGAATACCGCACTTATTGTCCATGGAAACACACTGTGTTTTTGCGTGCATATTAGCAAACATTAGAACTACAAATTGTTCAGTTTAATTTTTCCTAAACCAATTAGAAATTTTTTTCTGATTTTTTTTTCCTGAGGTTGTATTCAAGTTTACTAAACAAAACAAAACAAAAAAATTTAAATCCGTGAAAATCCTTACGTAAAACACTATCAACAAAAATCTGTTCTATATATATATAAAATTCAACAGACAAAGTTATAGTATTACATATTACTTTTTGTTCTGAGAACATTTCAAAAAGATTGAATAAAAAATGGTGGAGTTACTAAAAAAAAAAGTAAAAAGAAAAACTGAGTTTTGAGGAAGCGGGCGATAAAGAAAAATAAAAGATTGACTTTATGAGGAAATGGTGGTGACAAACATGCCAGGTATGGGAAGAAATTAGGCTTTAAGGGGTTCTAATGCGATGAAATAGTTGTAAGAGAGGCTGAAGAAGCTAAAAATGCCTGCAACTCAAAATATATAATATTGAGCCAAATCGGGACTTTCGGGGTCCACAAGAACGAAGACACTGATGGTGTAACTGAGGCCTAGTGAGGACAATAGAGAGAGCTATTTTTGCTTTGCTTTGATCATGTCCTGTTAACGTAGTACTACCACTAAGGCTTCACCGCCTTGATAATCGCTCCTGAAGCTGATTTCTTTTCGTTGGTAGCTTAAGCAAGTTGTACCAACATTAATTGAAAAAGGGTCAAGTGATAAACAGGATAGGTCACATTAATAACTCAACGACTTAACTTATCTTAAACTTCTTTATGACGGACTTGGCTTGTTCTCAACTGGGTTTGCTTTGATAAAAATAAATTCGTGAATGCCTTAATTGGTTTTCTTTTGGTTAATATTTTAGGTCATTCTACAGTCACTGTTGTAAATTGAGGGATAGTGCTCCGGTTTCGTTCTAAAATAGCCTTATCACCCAGCTTTCAGACATAGCTAATAGATTTTATATTTGTCAATCTTTCTTGAGGTGTGACATCTTTTTGTGTTACTAAAAATAGATGCAGGCAGAAACAGAAATCGGACTAACAATCACGAAACAGTAAAAATATGTTTGACAATTAAGAGTTTACATTAATTTCACGAGAAAATAGATACAATTCTGCATGTTACGTGTCAAAGACACCTCATTCTTTAGAAAAATTAAGAAATGAGGGCCATTCTTGGGCATTCTACAAATTCTCGATTATTGCCCTTGAAACTGGAAATTCTATTTCGTAGCAAATGTTATCATCAAAACAATACCAAATGACTCAGAATATAATGCAATGATACAAAGTGAAAAGATACCCCCCC